TATTTAATACACAATACTTATCGTCCATTCTCATAATTTGTTTTAATTATAATCATTTATTTTCTCTGTAATATTTCTTTTTGCAAAATTCATTTTGTTAAAAATATTACTTACCCGATGTTGTAAGATATAATCAGGTGAGTTGGGTAAATATAAGAACCAACAATTCTTTTATTTAGAGAGCTAACCTTTTAATTTGCAGTAGATGTCTATATTTTTTTTGTCCACTGATATAAATAGTCATTGTGTTTTGGAGGTGTATTTTGATAATTTTGTTTATCATTTCCTTTAATTTCATTAAAAGCTCTTTTCTTAAAAGAATAATGTTATCCCCCGTCCCCCTTTCAAAGTAGGGTCCAACGAGAATGATGGTATATATCTTTACAAAATATCTGATTTTTCTATCCATAATGCTTCGGTTTTATCATTATTTACTTGAGGCCTGAACTTCTGCTTTATCATTATTTACTTTGATGCATGTACTTTCCCTTTATCGTGATTTACTTTGAGGCATGTACTTCCGCTTTATCGTGATTTTCTTTGAGACCTGTATTTTCGCTTTATCGTGATTTACTTTGAGGCCTGTACTTTCGTTTTATAGTGATTTACTTTGAGGCCTGTACTTTCGCTTTATTATGATTTACTTTGAGGACTGTAGTTTAGTTTTATCATGATGTACTTGAGGCCTGTGCTTTCGTTTTATCATGATTAACTTGAGGCTTGTGCTTTGGTTTGTGCAAAATTTTTTTTTAGGCCTGTGCTTTGGTTTTATCATGATTTACGTTGGGGCCTGTAATGTGGTTTTATCATGAGTGTTACAAGTATACACTCTTGAAATAAATAACAGAAAAGAGTGTTAACAACAGGCTTTGTAAAATTTAAGAAATAATTTATTTCCCTAGAATATAAAGTGAAACAATTGAGAAAAAAGAACTCGCAATTTTGCAAATTAAATCAAAAAATAATCCAAGAATAAAGTCACAAATTCTAGTAATAAAAAGTCCTAGATAAAATTCAGTTCAAAGTCCCAAAGAGATTTAAAATTAAAGGTGATGACGTGTACATTATAGTCTGCGTCGTACGGGTGTATAAACATTCTCTTGTTGAATCACAGAAGTATTATTATTCCGTTTTTGAATTCCAATGAATGTCTTTATCCACAAATTTTGTCATGGCACTTTTGTATTTCCAGAGAAAATAATCACTTGAAATCAATAATTTAAAGAAAATAAAATTCAGCCGTAACTGGACATAACATAATAAAATTTAAAGTGCAAGATGTTAAAGCACAACTGGTAAATTCTGACAGTCACAAGATAATATAATTCTCTGTTTGACCTCAGGTAACAAATTAGCATTTTCTAAAACCAACCATTACCTAATGGAAAATGAATTTCTAGCATGAGCCTTGTTTAAAACATAATACCCTATAAAATTCACCTTGGAAGCCCCCAAAACTCTGACCCGAATCAACATGTTTACCAGCATAATAATTTGGTCAATAAACTCATACCCGTAGAAGATAATGAAGCTATTATTAGTTGTTTACATCAAAGAAATAAAAAAATCAATCAGGTCAAACAGAACTGATTTCATTTCTGGACAATTTCATGTACAGTAAGCAATGTTACATTGGAATAGCATGTAATGGAAAAAAATTAAAACTAACAGATAAGCAATTAAATTATACATATATAACATTACTTACTTGAAGTTTGTACTTTGTTTCTGTAATGATTTACTCGAGGCCTGTAATTTGGTTTTATCATGCTTTACTTTGAGACCTGATTCTGAAGCAAACTATTTTAAAAAGTTCAGGGCATGACAGAAACATGTTATAGAAATTGTCAAAGATAAGTGTTGTATCAACTGCAAATTATGTAATTTTATGTTCTTATTTATTATTTGCTATACCTTTAATATTTCTACTAACTCTTTTCAAAATTGACAATATTTTTACATGTATATTTTATATTAAATACTTTTTCTAACTTATCACTTAAAGTAACTAGTTTTGTTTCCATTTTCTTACTGGATTTTTTTCTTCATCTTATGTTTCACAAATGAGATAGTTCTACCCCTTATTTTGATTAATAAACTTTATGAAATAGACCAATTATACAATTTATATATGCCACATTCATTGCATTTATTTCGTCAAGATTACAAACAGGTAGTACATATTGGCTTCGGTTCTATTGCTTAATTGTTTTCGTTCACCTTTGTAGCATACTATGGAACCTTCAAAAGTCTTTTATTCAACTTCCAGAGGACGTTTCTTTGTGTACGTTTTTGTAGTAATCTAGAGATCCGACCTGTAACCTCTTGTAATTGTTATGTTGTTTCCCAATCTTGTAAGACGTTTAGAAACAAGAAAAATTCTTATTTTCTAGCGTCAAGTGTATCTTTCTAGATGTGGATTGTGAGTTCTACAGTAATCATACACGATAGGATTCCCGATGAGTTTATTTAACCTTTGTAATGTGTTGGGTTTAATAACATTTACATCACCTTCCAATGCCAGTACTCTCAATATTGATATATGATTCATAACTGCCTGATGAGCGAGAATCTTGCCAATGATCACTAGCACTAATAGCAATTAATATATTTATGCGATAGATAGATAGATAGATAGATAGATAGATAGATAGATAGATAGATAGATAGATAGATAGATAGATAGGTAGGTAGATAGATAGATAGATAGATAGATAGATAGATAGATAGATAGGTAGGTAGGTAGGTAGGTAGGTAGGTAGGTAGGTAGGTAGGTAGGTAGGTAGGTAGGTAGGTAGGTAGGTAGGTAGGTAGGTAGGTAGGTAGGTAGATAGATAGATAGATAGATAGATAGGTAGGTAGGTAGGTAGGTAGGTAGATAGATAGATAGATAGATAGATAGATAGATAGATAGATAGATAGATAGATAGATAGATAGATAGATAGATAGATAAGTAATACAAAAGAGCAACAACCTACAAATTTGGTAAAATTGAACAAATAGTTTATTTTCCTAGAATACAAAAGTGTAGATTTCAAAACAAGTTAGATTATTATGATTATTGTGATTAAATCCCAAATAGTCCTAAAAATGTGTATCACAAGTCCAAATATAATTAGTTCTAATTGAATTCCAGTGGTGTTCCAAATAAGTTTCAGTACTGAATGTGTCGATGTGACTAGTATCAAAGGTGCTAATGTACCAGTGTCCTTGAATGTGGCGATCTTCTAGTAGTATTTTGATATATCACAATGATATAATCCAACATGTTCTTGCTTGAATGCACTATAATTTAAAATGATTGTTCCAGTTAAAGAATATTATTTATGATCACTTAGTGTTTCCATTGAATAATAATTTGAAGAAATAAATCCACCCAAATAAAAACCATTCACAACAATAACACTGATTCTAATCCAAGATGATAAGGCGCAAATTAATAATTTCTCAAGTAAACAACATTACATAAAAATGGAGCATGGGTACAGGTCAGCCTCATCTCTGAAACACTAAAAGTCGTCAAAAAGTTTAGGAATTTCCAAATGGAAGTCTCAATTCCTAAACCCAGACACAAATAAACGTGTTACTTTCTTTGATAATAATCAGAATGTTCATTCCACACTCAATGAGAAATATAAGCTATGCCTTATATTGTTAACAAAAAAAACCCAAAACAAAACAAAACAAAAACCTTAGTCAAGCACACAGTGAACTTGAGTTTGGACAAAATCAAGTACAACATATAAGTGTATATAACAAACGATCGTTCAGAAAAGCCAACAAATAATAAATATTTAATAACATAACAGTATATCATGTAAAATATAAAATTCATACTCCATGTGCAGAACAACATTACAGTCACCACAAATGATTATATAAATCATACTGTCTTCTTTCATTTCTAAATAATCCGCAACATCTTTATTACAACCCTATAAATTCACTAGCATAGATCTGTCCATTAACAAGAAAGTCGAAGAGAATGTATTTGCCATGGCAATTATATCTGGCTCTACGAGAAAAAAGTAAAAACTATTCCTAAGCATATATCGATTCCAGCAGTCTGGCTAGATTTGTGGCTAAATGTATATTTATAACATGATTCGGAGTCCCAATACATATACTTCTCAACCTCAGCTGTACTATGTGTTTTGTGTAAACATATCATTAATACCTGCCATATTCCAGGACCGTGTTAGGGATTGAGTCTCAAAAGGTGTCTTGAGTTAGCAAGGGGAAGGAGGTGTCCGTAATCCCAGTGATAATAATCTATCTTTTCGTTTAAGCCAATTGAAAATAAGTTGAAAATCAAATGTGTAAACGAAAATAACTCCTCTGGTTTCTTCAGAGCATGTAATACGCTTTCAAAGAATGAATCCTGGTCAGAACTGATTTGATTTTGACAACCATAATGTCAGCCTTGTCTGATGCAGTCTGGCCATGAGACATGTTTGTCTCAATAGAAAATGGGACTGATCTTTTCATTAGAGGAGGTAGTGGATGGGACATAATATTTTAAAATTGAATGGGGACTTTACGTGTATTTCAGCATGCAATAATTCGCGTCTCTGTATAGTACGGATGTTAACGCTTTATCAACACAAATCAACTGTGCAAACATGAGCCTGTGCTTTTTGTCTTTCAATCAAGCTATATCAGGGCTAAATTCATACTATAAAGTATGGGTCAATTCATAGTATTCTGACAAGATCGAGATAACAAATAATAATAAAGAGCACAATTCCGGCATCATAAATAATCATGCATTGTGTTTTATGTATGGAATCAAATCCGACTTCAAACAAATGTTGCCGATGTTCACAAACTTGACAATAATCTTTAATACAGACGGGTTAAATATTCTTCTTTTGGGCAATGATGTTTAATAACTTTTTGTTCATCAACACGCAGCTAGCATATCTTTGATTTACCTATAACTTAAAATGAATTCCATTGTGTGAACTTTACCTATGCAAATTACCACAATTGGCAAACCGCTCCGGTAGCATCGTGGTTAGAGCGTCCGCCTCGGATGCGCGAGGTTGTGGGTTCGATCCCCAGTCGAGTCATACCAAAGACTTACAAACATGGTACTAGCAGCTTCCTTGCTTGACGCTCAGCAATAAGGGGTTAATGTTAGGACTGGTCGGCCTGGTGTCAGGATAATGTGACTGGGTGGGACATCATGCTACATGTTTGCGGCATAACTATAACCTGCCACATTGCAGACATCATAGCGATATGACTAATTGTTATAGCTACGTAAAAAATCATATCACATCACATACCACAACTGACTCCCCCAAAGAAAAGTAATACGTGAACTGGTGTTTGTTTATACCTAACCTTGTTGCCTTTTAATTGCCTCTATGACTATTTGCTGTATAAACTGATAAAAGCATTGTGTTACATGGACTCTAAGTAGAGCTGTTTACTGTGTGTATGTGCTATTTGTATATTGAGGTATTTTGCAAATTGTGTTCTTCGAAACACAACCGTTTTGGGTGGTTTGGGACTAAAAACAAAATAAAACAAACGTGTCTTTAGCGCGTCTCCTCGTTTTATTGCAGGTATTAATTAATTATGCATGCTTTTGTTTGATCCAATGGAAAAGATAACTTCTTATATTCCATGACACAATTTCATTTATGGATATCCGTTGTTACATTTTATCATGAGAACTACTTTCACAGAGATTATATTACACGTAACATGAGATACACTGATATTCGCTTTCACATGCAAAACGTGTCACACAATGCCCTACACCACTGAGTATATATATGATGGTGCCCAGTACATCACTAGGTACATATATGATGGTGCCCAGTACACGACTAGGTACTTATATGATGTTGCCCACTAAATTACTAGGTACATATATGATGTTCCCCAGTACACCACTAGGTACATATATGATGTTGCCCAGTACACCACTAGGTACATATATGACGTTGCCCACTAAACAACTAGGTACATATATGATGTTGCCCATCAGAGAAATCCATAAGCCTATTCTGCACTACAATGGTCATATAATTATTTTAATGTTTGTGTTCTGTTCTAAAACATTTTTGCCCATATATCTTCTTGTTGTAAAGTCAATGAAGCATAAAACAAACTATATATATATATATATATATATATATATATATATATATATATATATATATATATATATATATATATATATATATATATATATATATATATCCATCCACACACACATACATACATACATACATACATACATACATACATACATACATACATACATACATACATACATACATACATACATACATACATACATACATACATACATACATACATACATACATACTAGAGGCAAACGTCACGGAGTGAAGTGTTAGTGAGTTTCCATGATGCCATGGTTTACTTTTGGTGAATTCATGTCAGAGCCGCACTAGTGTTCTGTTGCTCAGTGGTCCATATTAAAATCTAGCTGTGTGAACTGATCCTCATGTGTCTCCAGGTGCATTATCTATGATTGAAGACTGATAAATAATACAATGAAACAAAAAAGCAAGAAGAGACTGACTCGTCGGCGGCAGGTGCCTGGTATTGTTGCTATGGTGGTAAATATGGTGCAGAGTTTCAGGCGAAATGTGACTTAAAATCATTATTTGATTAGCTGAAAGTGGCGTAGTAAAAATAGTTCCCTGTATTAGGTGGTTGAGTTGTTTAGTTTTACGGCTTGAAATATACTGATGGTACGTTACAGAAAGTTGACGAAGAGAAGCCATGCAATTGTGCGATTGACAGGCAACTGGGAATTTGTGAGATCTGTGGTATTGTATTAATTAGAGCAAAATTATTTATCTACTGGACACGTTGGACTTTCCAGTTGACAACAGTAGTTGTATAGAGGTCTTTGGAATCGAGGGGAAACATGACTTCCAGAAAAATCAATGAACTAAATTCAAAAACTTCACCAAGATTGCTCTGCTAACGTACATGTATATACAATATTAGTCACAATTCCAGGGTATTTGGTACTATGAAACACACTCCAAACTTGCATTTATCTGTGCAGGCTGTCGATGCGCAAATGCTTTTATCTCTGCAGGCTGTCAATATACATATGTTTAATGTGTGCAGGCTGTCGATATACATGTTTTATGTTTGCAGGCTGTCGATATGCATATGCTTTTATCTGTGCTGGCTGTCGATACGGGTATGCTTTTATTTGTGAAGATTGTCGATACGCATATGATTTATGTGTGCAGGCTGTCGATACGCGTATCAATTTATCTGTGCATGCTGTCGATACGCATATGCGATATGTATGCAGGCTGTCTATACGCCTATGCTTTTATCAGTGCAGGTTGTCGATATGCATATACTTTTATCGGTGCACGCTATCGATATTCTTACGCTTTTATCTGTGCAGATGCTGATACCAAGGTTAGTACAGTAACTCTCCACAACTTCGTGACAGCTCCGGTAGCATAGTGGTTAGAGCGTCCGATTCGGATGCAGAAGGAAGCGGGTTAGAACCTCGGCCAAGTCATACTAAAGACATAAAAATGATACAGACAGTTGTCGCTCCGCATTAAGAGGTTAGTGTCAGGACTGGTCCAACTGATGTCAGGATAATATGACTGGGTGGGACATGATGCTATTTATCTTCGGCATGATGCTACGTTACAAATCCAAATCCACACACACACACACACACACACACACACACACACACACACACACACACTCCTAAGCTTCGTAGTGTTGAGCTATAACGCTGCCATATGTGTTCTTATAAGACTATTCAAGCTGCAAAGTTAATGATCCGTCGAGGGCATAATGCGCATGCAGACCACGGTATATGTTGTTTATTCAACTGATGATTTTATCAAACTGCAGTGGCCCAGATCTGCTGGCGCATCATGCAACGGTATATTAGGGTCTGTATAGTTGCAGTTGGATTCGTCTTATAAGTGAGTACAAACGGTATATCAAAATAAAAATCACGTAGATTTAAATTTCAGTTTTTAAGTCTGGAGACCATACAAAATTCTAAAGCGATCATTAGTTTGAAATGTTCTTGTTAAATATCATTTGGTTGAAAATTACAGAGCTGTTTACTGTAAACAACGGCATGTTAGCGGGATAAAGTACAATTAAAATTTAAGCTTTAAATGGGAATCCTGTAGCAATTCATAAAACACAAAAGCCTCTAAGTTATTTTTCTTGTACTAAGGGAATATGTATATTTTGTTGGTATTGTGTTGGAAGCGAAAAAGTAATTAATCTCTTCTAACTCAGGTATTGATGTTTTATTCTGTAATGTGTTGTCCTATTAACACTTGGTCATTGCAGGCATACGTAGATACAGATAATAAATTCATCGTATCCGATGAATAACATATAAAAATACCATAAAGATTCAAACATATCTCATCTAATCTAGATATTGACCGTATAAACAAAAGTTCTGCTTGTGCTTGTTTTGTTTTGTTTTCACTTTCAAAAATGCAGAAAAGAAAAATACTTGATATATGTTTATCATGTCATCTTAGTATATAATGACAGTGTAGAAAAGAATTAATATTTGTACTATTCATTTGTTTTCCTTCATATTTCCAGATGATCAATTTTATCACAGTGTTGATGTTTACTGAATTTCCCCATACAGAATATTGTTGGGACCATACATGTAAGCTGTTTTATGTAGGTGGCTAGTACATGCTTATGATATATGTCCAATGACAAACTCTGTAGACCCAGAGCTGCTGACATATATTTTGCTGGTCTCTGCAGTTTGTTAGCAGTAATCAGCAGGCTGAGAATAAGGATAACTTTTTATATAAGCCTATAGAAAATGATTGTTAATTCAAAATCTAAAACTAACTTGTCTGTAATGTTCAAAGCATTTAATACATTTGCCCCTCCCCCAAAATAATAGTAGATAATAATGTCAAATATCATTACCATACGTATATGTGCAAACACACACACATAATCACAACTACACTGATATTAAATACAAACATATGTCAAGTTTCTGTCATTAAAATCCCCTAGAAGGCAAAATAGAGGCTTCATTAGATAGCCTTTGCTACTCTCAGTAGTTCAATAGGGGGTTTGAATGGAGTGCAAATGTCATTAGGGTTGATCACTACACTCACTAGAGACTAGATGGTGTTAACATTTCTATGATGGATTTTCCGAGCGAATCCTAGTTAGAACAGAATTGTTTCATGATGAGTATTAGGTTAGCATTTTCAAAAATGTATCTGAAGCAGCCTGACCTTGCGATTAACTTGTCATTATTTTAATAAAATGACTCTACACCACATTTGAAACTGGCCATTTCATGGGAAAGGGTACTGTGCATAATATTTTCAAATTGAATGGGGAATTACAGCAATAATAATTGCCTCTCTGCAGTACAGATGGTAACGCTTTATCAGCACAAATCAACTGTACAAACACGAGTGTTTGCTTATTATTGTCTTTTCGTTAATCTATTTTATTGCTAAAGGGTTAATTAATAATTAGTATTTTAACAAAATTAAGATAATGAATCTTCATAAAGAGAACTAATCGAAATGTTTAATTAAGCGTGTTAAATATGCTGTATATAGGCGGTGCTCCTAATTCGTCAGACAACGTAAATAGTGGAATGACATGTCGTTATGTTCTTAGCAGTATTTGTTAAACAAATATAAAAATCTCCGTCCACTCAACCGTTCTATTGCTGGCATGCTTCGAAAGGTAAAGCTCCATCAACCAGGAGTTCTGAAAATTTTTTGTTTGTTGGAATTTGCTTGTTTTGCTGATAGCCAATTGCTTTCTAAATAGTTTTCAAAAATTAATCACACTTTAAACTTGTCCAAAAACTGAAATAATCACCTGAAATAATAATACGCTATGTTTTATACAATGAGTAAAACCAGACTTCAAAGAAACACTGCTGCTATTCAGAAACTTATAAAAATTCTTTAATACAGATGGCTTTCGAGGCAATTATATTCAATAATAACTTTGTTCCCTGACAAGCATTTATCATCTCTTTGGTGTACTTATATGGGTTGTTCCACTTCAT